ACTTATTTATGGACGTGCTAATTCTCAGGGAAACAAACACGGGAGTGACCGCACTCTTTCTCTCCTCGCGCGTCTAGACGCTCGTAAAGAACGTTTTAAGTCTCTCGCGCAAAGCGTCTCGCTTGTATACAAGCGATCGGAAGCAAACGTCGAGCCGGGGTGTAATCCCGTTCGGGGAAGGTGACGAAACTGATTATTTCGAGCGAATGTTCTAACGAGCGATCGTTAGCGTCGTCTGGCGATTCGTCGCTTGTATTCGGGAACAACGAACGCTAAGAATCTCATCAAGTTAGATACATATCCAATGTATACAGAAGATAACACGTGCTTAAAAGGATAATTCTTGAGAGAGAGAGACGTCTGAATATATTTTACGATCGACGCGATAATGGACGGGCAAACAATAGACGAGACGTCCCGGAATATCCGCTGGACGTCTCTCTCTATTTCGAGCCTTTTCTAGACCCTACTTTCGTTCCCCGGCTTTTCGACGCGGGTCAAGGAAACCTCTCGCGCGCGCTCCAATCCCGGAACGAGTAGGCGCGCGACCGAGGAGCCGCGACTTCCGGCTCGAATAAAACCGTCTACGGCTCGCGCGGACGCATTTAGAAGCACGTTGTAAACAGCCGCGCGTAAATTTAGAGAGCCCGCTAAATCCCGCTTATTGACTACGACAGCGCTCACTTAAGGCCCTTGTTTATGAGGTCAGAGACGATTCTGCGTCTCGTGTCTCCTCACACTCTCTCTTTCTCCCTCGTTTTCCGCGTCGTGTCCACGTGACGTCCCTGATTTCCTAAAGATCCAAATAAGCGGCGGTCGGTTGCGGAATCGAAAACGCCGGGACCTCGTCCGTCCACCGCCAACGTCGTCGTCGTCGTCGAGAACGAGATACGAAGGCGGTTGACAAAAAGAGGGCGGCGAGCGTGCGAACCGACGCCGGCGAAAGTGAATTCCGTCTCGGGTTCGACTTTCAAAAGAGCGACACACGGCTCACCTTGTGTCTCACGCACGCACGTGCGTACGTGAGTGCGCGCGTAGTGCGATTTATTGCGCGGCATTGTCGAAAGAAATCCGCCCGGGGCGCCGTGCCGCGTCCGTCGATCAAACGTCTTCGGTCTACCCGCTTTTTCTATTTCCTTTTCTCTCTCGCGCTCTCTTTCTTTTCTAACGACGTCGATCGGCCAGCTCGGGCAACATTAAAGCCGCGGTATAGAGAGGCTATTAAACCGCCTCTAATAGTACAGATTGGTCCATCGCGCGGCGGCTTCAGAGATTCGTATCTATCGCGCTAGCAGCGACTCGTTACCCTCGAAAATCTAACGGGACCTGTCCATCACGACGAAATCGCTTCCCGTATACTCTCTATCGGAGTAGCCTGGAGGAGGAGGGGTACGCGGCGTCAAGTGCGTGCCACTAATGCGAGTGGTACGGTTGTAACAATAACGACACGATTTCAGCCTGTCTGATTGATGGCACGTGTAACACGGTGCGGTCGTAAAATATCACAAGCAATAATGATACGAAATCTTTTTCACGGCTTAATACAATTTGACGATTTGATTAGCGCGCACACGAGAGCGGCGGATAAAAAACGTCATTCGGGGCGAGCCGCCACGAAGTTACGCTCGGAATGCGGGGCCTCGTTCGCGAACGGATTAATCGAATCGACGAAATATCAGGTAATGGTGTGTTCATCGCGTCGGCGAACGAGGGATGAATCGCACGACAGCGGTGCGTCCGGATGATCGATAAATCCGACGCCGCAGTTTTACGTGCCGGTCGCGGAATAAATTCCAGGCGGCCCGCGAAAGTGGCGAATCTCGGCGTATAGATCTTCCTGCGACTCTCTCGCGAGAATTCCCGCTGCTCGCACGTAATAAATTCGCGCTCGCGCGGTAATGATACCGTTTGGCCGGTTTTTACGCAATTTAGAAAGCACAAGCGAGAGATCGACCGACGTGTAAATCGACGAGCCTTTACGTTAGATCGGATCGCGGATGACAAAAGCTGGAGGGGGGGGGGGG